CCAAAATGCTATCAATCGGGGGTGGGGACACACGTTTATATGAGGGCAGACGGAAAATAAGAGAGAAGAATGTGAATATATGGAAAGGGTAAAAACAACAAAGAAAGCCGACAATTTATGGAGTTTTTTGGTTCTGTTAATTTATGGGCGCAGATAGAAGACGAAAAGGAGACTGACTTGGAGGGGAGAGGATGACGAAGGTTTTTAAAAGAAAAATTGTTGTTAAAGTTTTTGTAGAAATAAATAAAGAAATAAATTTTATTTTAGAAAATTGGAGAGGCGGAACTTGGGGGGAAGGTTTTTAATTTTTGAAGGGAGAGAAGAGAGAGTGAGAGAAGAAATTTTGGGTTTATAATAAAAATAGGTATATTTTCTTTTAAAAGGCTTATTTTTCAAATATTTAATTATTTAATTTTTATAATTAAACTAAGTTAATTTTTGGGAGGACATGGTAATTAAAATTAGTTGAGAGGATGAGGAGTGGATTCTGAGGTTTGACTCTAAAAATTATAGGACAAGAATCATTGGGAATATTGAGGAATCTTTAATTCTTAGGTAAGGGGTTGTTTTGTTTTAAAAACAGAATGCCAAAAATAATTTATTTATTTTCTATATTTAATTCCCTTTCAAAGTCTGACTGTATTTCAAATTCCTCATATTTCTTCTTTAACTCCACATTCTAAGCTGGAGGCCATCTCAAAAATTGCTTTTAAAACATTCCTTCGTTGGTTGAAAATAGTTAGACCTTTTTTTATTCAATCATAAATATTCCTTTCATTTATTTTTAAGCATTTTACTGTATTTCTGCTGATTTTTATTTAAGAAGAAAAAACACAAAAAAGTTTTAATAAAAAAAGTAAAGTAATTATTGGCAGCAGAATTTTGATATGACTTAATTAATTTCATTATTATTCTAAAACCCCGATATTTTCAACCCTAAATCATCCTATCCATTTATTTACAAAGTTTTTGTCCTTTCAAGTAGTTAATTCCGTCCAAATTCTGAAACTAAAAATTGAACAGGGATTACTGGATTTAAAATTATAGGTGCTATTTATTTCTATTTAGAGGGTGTACTTTTGTTAGCTTGTATTTCACTTCCTGAAAAAGTTGGGGTTTAATTTATTTTCTATATTATTTTTTACATCTGGCGATCATCTTCCCCTTCTCCTTTTTTTATTTTTAATTCTATTTTCGACTGTAAACAAAGTTTGGGTCTTGTATATATATAAATACTTGCAAGGTCACATTTACTAGAAAATCTAAATATTTTCTTATGTCTGGCCATAAATCTCTTTCCTTTCCTTCCTTCCTGAAGATTACCATAATTGAAAGAAAAGAGAATGAAATCTACACAGATTTTCTCATAATTATTTTCTATTAATCCTTTAAAAACATTTATTTTACAATTTAAATTTAAATACAAAAATTTTATTTTTAAATAATTGTACACGCAAGGGTTATCTGGTATTTTTGCAAGTGAGTCTATTAACATATCTCTAACAATTATTTTAATCCAGAATATTCTTAAATTCCACAAAAATAATTTTGGAATTAATTCAAAAAAATAACAAAATCTTTGTAAAAATACTTTTCTCTTTCCGACGATTTCTAAAAACTAAGTTACCAGATTTACTATTTTTCCTCTTACCATTTTTGAAATTTTATAAAAATCCTTTTTTGAAGGTGCCACGTTCTCCCCCAATTTTCATCCTAAAATTGTTTGTTTTGCCGGTAATCTTTTCTTCAAAAAATAATTATAGGAGTATTTTTATTACTTTTAGAGAAACAAACAATTTTGTAAAATAAAAATAGAAAATGTTGGGTAGTGTTTGGATGAGGTGAGGTGAGGGGGGGCGGGATTTTGTTAAAAATTGTTTAGAATTTTCGGAAATATTTTTTAAAATAATCAAGGCTAAGTTTAATTTTACATAACTATTTATATTTTTATGATTGCCTATTACAGGCACAAGATCCTCAAGATACAAACAAGAAGTATCTGATTGGGTATGAAGACATTTCGGGATTGCGGTGATTTGAGAATTAAATTAGAATGTAGATATTTTCTGGTTTTTGTGTATTAAATCTGCACGTAAAAAGCCATCGAATCATAAAAATTTTTAAATTTAAGAATTTCCTTAGGCTTAAAAACACTTTTACTAATAGTTAGTGTTAAGTAATTATAATACACCCCTCCCCCCTCTCCCTCTAAAATTCTCATTTATTACTCGAAAAATCCACAAAAATTTATCTGAATATACATATCTATATCAATGGGAAATACAAAAGAAATGAAGTTCTAATGTGATTCCTCCATCCAGATGTCAAAACACAAAAATTAACGAAAAATCAAAGTAAATGTCTTTAAAATATATTTTTGGCTCCTTATAGGCTGTTTAAATTTTCATTGTATACTTTTCTGAAAGCCTTTTAAATTAGCTTTAAATTGATCCTAAAACTTAGAAGCTCGTTTCTTCAAATATAGAAACTTGTTTCTCCAGACCCAGTGATCGTAGGAATTGAGACCAGTAGAAAACAATAACCCTTCCGGTTGGTTAAAAGTTCCCTCAAAACAGAGCAAGAAATACTGTAATAATATTAATAAAATCAAAAAAATTTCAATTTAAAAAATTAATTTTTCCTAATAAAAATTTAAATAAAAATATTTTTAATTTAATTTAAAAAATTAAAATTTTTTTTCTAAATTCTTCTCTCATTGGCTGCTTTTTTCCCTTTTCTTTTATTTAATCCCGCCCTTTTTTATCAATCAATTGTCTACTTTTAGTTTTTTCTTTCTCATTTTTCTCTATTCTTTACTTATTTCCATTGTTGTCAGGATTTTTATTTTTTTTATAAATATTTTTTTATTTATTCTAATAAGAGTTTCGAAACTAAAAAATTTTTAAAACAAAAATTCCGAACAAGTTTCTTTTCTGAATTACCGATAATAAAGAAAATTTAAATTTTTAAGAATTTCCTTTAAAATGATCATTTAAGTTGTTTAAAAATATTTGGATTTTACTGGTTATTTAGTTTAGGGGATTTCTTTCCTAATCCTGTCTCTTATCCGAATCTTTATATTTGGTACATAAATCCTGATCAAACCCCTCTTCTTTCTTCAAAAAATATTCTAGATTGATATTACCCCAAGAAAACCTCAAACTCTCTTTTGGCATATCCAAAGTCGTTCAATGCTTAATTTGATTAAGAGATGCCTGTTATGATAAGTTTTTCGGGAGAAATTTTCCCTATGAGTTAACTTCATTAAATAAAAATATATTTTGTAAATTTCCATCAACAAAAATCTCAAATTTTTTAGCCAAAAATAAATATTTTATTAATTGATTGTTCAGATTAAATATTTAATTTTAATTAATTAATATTTCAGAACAATAATTATTTATTTCTCATTATTTTTATTTTCTTTTTACATTTTATATAAACTCCGTTCCAAAAAACCTCGACACCCCCCAATTTTCGGATAAATCGACTTACGAGTTTTTACTTTTTTATAATCTTTTTATATACTGATTCAGCAGCAAAAACTACCTAATTTTACAAAAAATTTTTGCAAACTGATAATTTTATCAAAAGTTATGATAAATTTTCAAAAAATTATGCGTTCCAAATATCCTCATACAGTTTGTAAAAGTAACGATAATTACAGAAAGAAATCAGCTAAAATTTAACAAAAATTTCTATGAACATAACTATCAATAAGGATACAAAATAGAAAAAAAACTAAGTCGAAAACTGCTTTCTTCATCGAGATCTAAAATCTCGAAAATCAACGGAAATAAGGGTTACAGTACTTTAAAAAATATTTTAGCCAATTAAAAAAATATATTAAAAATTTTCTTTAGGCCTATCTGAAAGCCCATAAAATTTGCTACAAGATACAAAAGGGCTCATCGTTCTAAAAAATTTATCCGTGTAAATGCCCACGCTAGAATAACCGCTTCACGATAATAGTGCATTTTTAGGCTATTTTTTGCTTGCCAGTTATTTAAGCTTGAATGCCGTCACGGATAAATTTTTTAGAACGATGAGCCCTTTTGTATCTTGTAGCAAATTTTATGGGCTTTCAGATAGGCCTAAAGAAAATTTTTAATATATTTTTTTAATTGGCTAAAATATTTTTTAAAGTACTGTAACCCTTATTTCCGTTGATTTTCGAGATTTTAGATCTCGATGAAGAAAGCAGTTTTCGACTTAGTTTTTTTTCTATTTTGTATCCTTATTGATAGTTATGTTCATAGAAATTTTTGTTAAATTTTAGCTGATTTCTTTCTGTAATTATCGTTACTTTTACAAACTGTATGAGGATATTTGGAACGCATAATTTTTTGAAAATTTATCATAACTTTTGATAAAATTATCAGTTTGCAAAAATTTTATGTAAAATAGGGTAGTTTTTGCTGCTGAATCAGTATATAAAAAAATTTTAAAAAAGTAGACAACCGTAAGTCGATTTATCCGAAAATTGGGGGGTGTCGAGGTTTTTTGGAACGGAGTTTATTACTCGATTGTCCATAACCAGTTGATTAACGCCATTAATGTTTGGGGGGAGACTTTTAAAAATACTTTCGAAAACTATCGGAGTTTTTAAACTTTTAATCAATTAATTAATTTTTGACAAAATAAATAAATATATTTTCTGTGTGTCTAATCGGTTCTGAATTAATTTTTATATATTTTTCATTAATTTAGAAAACTTTTCTTTTTTAGGGCCGGTGGTCGAGTTTTATTGAATAGAAACTCGAATAATTCTATCTCCTAATTGATTGTCTTTAATTTAAATATTAAATAAATATATTCGATTTGATTAAAACCAACTTTTATTTACATTTATGAATAAACGTGAATTTGAATATAAAAATAATTGTATGTAGTAGAAAATAGTAAGAATCCTTTTAAAATGAAATAAATGGAAGAAGGTACAAAAAACTTTCCTAATAGTTTTTTTAACTAAAATTAAAAATAAATTTCTTTTTAGAAAAATGTATCGAAATATAATAAATAATAATCAACAACAACAACAAGATTCATTACCAACAAATATTTATTGGTCAAATGATAACCAAAAAATAATTGAAGGGGTAGGGAATAATACAAATAATTTTTATCAATCACCAAACAATAATTGTTTATATTCTTCCTCTAATAACACAACAATTAATTCTTTACAACAACCTCCCTCCTCTAATAATGAATACATGAAAAGTGTTTTGGCTGCTGCACAATGGGCTGAAGCTAATCAAGCGGCGGCTGCGGCAGCTGGGTATATTTAAATTTTGAAGAAAGTTTGGGGTTAAATAAGTAAGAGAATGGTGAAAGTGGTTGTATCTGGCAAACATTGTGACCTACTAGAAGTTATTGCTAAGCTCTCGTATAGGTGCCCTACCAATCGAGCTATAATTTATTTTGTTGTGAATACCTGTCCTTTCCAAACTATTTTTAAGAAAAATATAACCTTAACAAAAAAAGCCTTTTTTGACATTTTCAACTAATTCCGATTTGATTCTTTCTCACACAATTCCCCCAAAAATTAATTATTTAGATCGAACAAATTAAAATTTCTTTTAATTTCAAGTTTTTATGGTTCCCAAACATCAATGGCCGCAGCAGCAGTTGTAGCAGCAGCATCAGTTTCAGCAATCCCTTCATGTTCTGCATCCTCTACAGTCTCCTCTTCTTCACATTTTTTGGATAATAATTCTTCTTCCCTTTTATTAAATAATTCTTCTTCCCCTCCTCCTTCAACAACTACAAAATCTTTAAATGTTCAAACATTTCCGTGGATGAAAATGAATGGTAAATAAATAAAATATTAATTTAAATAAAACGAAATAAATAACAAGTAAATTGGGAATAGTTTTGTCGGTTCCAAAAACCGAACAGAAAAACCGAAGATTTTCCTTTCTTTCTTTGGTTCGGTTAACCGAAGAATTTTTTTCCTTACGGGAGACATCAACAAACATCAATTATCAGGGCTGTGCGCCAAAATTTTCGCGTGGCGCGCCAAACGCCAATTTTTTAAATTTTAAAAACACGCCAAACGCCAAACGCCAAAAATCGGCCAAAATCAACGCCAAAACGCCAAAATTTTTAGAGACTATAAAGACTTAAAACCCACTGTTCATCTCATTTTAGCGCCGAAGGCGAAATTTTTTGAATTTTCAAGCTTCCCAGAAGCCAGAATTCATCCTTTTTTACCGCCGGAGCGAAATTTTACCGCCGGAGCGAAATTTTTGAGAATTTTGGAGGCAAAGAAGCCGAAATTCATCCTTTAAAAAATTTAAAAAATAAGAAATTCATTTAACTCCTTGAGATTAAGGTGGATATGAAGGGATAAAGGTTGTAATGAGTATAACAGAGGTCATGAAGAGAGTAAACGATTGACGGGACTAAAGTTTTTTTCTACCATCTATTAGTTTAAGATAAGGGCTTCCTCCTTTAAGCGCCGCAGGCGAAAATTTTGAAAATTTTGGAAGTCCAGGCAGTAGATTTCTTCATTTTTTATGCGCCGCAGGCAAAAATTTTGAGAATTTTGGATGACTGTACGCAGAAAAATTTCCTTTTTCGATCATCCCTTTCTCCATTTATTTTAAAAAAATTCCATCATTAGGGGTGTATATTTTTGGCGTTTGGCGCGCCAAAATCGGAAAATCACGCCAAACGCAAAACGCCAAAAATCGGCCAAAATTAACGCCAAAACGCAAAACGCCAAACGCCATGACGCACAGCCCTGTCAATTATCAAGAAAAATATATCATTTCGAGCCAGTCCAAAGAAGTAAGGAAAAATATGATTCCGGCACTACTTTAAGATAGAGTTGAAATTTCAAATTAAGCAACACACCTATCTCCTCCCTCCCTCTCTCTATATTTATTTGCCAACCTTTTCATTAAATATATTCAAAATTTATTTATTTATCCCTCTACCGTAATTTATTTTTAAAATTTAATCTCATCAATTTTTCTCCAATTCAATGTTGCATTGAATAATTAATTAATTTTTTATTTATTTTATTCCCCCCTCGGGCTAAAAGATTATTTATATCTTTATTTTTAAACGAGTTTAAATTATTTTTTTCAAAATTATTTACTAATTATTTCAAAAATATTTAATTTTTAATTTATTAAAAATGTTTTTCAAAAAATTTAAAAATAATTCTGAATTTCTTTTTTTGGATTTAAAAAGATTAGTTAATAAAATTATAGACAGTCATGAGAATGACTATATCCATAAACCTTTAATCCTTAAACCTTCCATCTTATTTTTGTAAGATAACCTGAAACTTAAAAATCTTTTTTTTTAAATTTCCAATCTAAAATCCCCTCGCCTTTCTATTATTTTTTAATTTAATTCTCATAACTTTTAATAACCCAAAAACTCAAAATAAATTTCAAAAAAACTTTTAATTTAAATAAAAAGTTCTTTTATTAAAACTTTTTTTGCTAGAACTCCAATTAATTAATAAATTTTCCTCAATTTTTTGTAACAAATAATCAAAGGATTTCAGGGCGACGGCAGGAAAAACAAAAAAAAACATTTTCTTCCTTTTTTCCTTTCATTATTTGGCCAAAAATTATTTTTATTTTTGGTGTGACAATTAAAATAAAAAAGGATTTAAAGGAAAAGTGAGAGGAAAGGCGGCATTTATTTCTTTTTTTTTCGCGCGAATGTTTTTGTTAAGCCTTTTAAGGTTGTAAAAAGTTGTAAATCAAAAATGTTATAAAAATCAGAAAATATAGAAAAAAGTGTTTGTTGTTGATAGGCAGCCGCCAAAGAAGTTAAAAATAAATAAATAAATTTACGATTTTATATTAATTAATTATAAGAAGAAGAAAATATTTACTGAAAACTTTGAAAAGTTTTTTTATAAATAATGAAAAGGGGTTTTATTCAAAACTTTCTTATAGTATATGTACTTTAGAAAAATATTAGGTAGATTAGAAAATATTAAAAAGAGTTAATTTATATAAACAGGTGGAATTGAATTTTCGGAATTATTTAGAGAGTGCTAATCACAGAATGATGGAGATTGAATGGAAATTCCTGGGCTATTGTCCAGTTTAAGCGTCCAATCGCACCTCTATACGTCCATTAAAAAGTTTATACATTTGACGCTTAAACTGGACAAGAGCCGATTCCTGCACGAATTCCAATCCCAACTTATCTCAATCAATCCTATTTTCCCTGGAATAGGGACCGTGATATTTTTGAGAAAAATAAAAATTAATTAAAAGTATCATCTACATACACTCCAATCCCTTGTCTTTTATTTATCTTTTTCCTTAAATTTTTATTTTTTTTTAACAATAATAATTAAATAAATTTTAAAATTTACTTACATATATTTTTTACTTAAATCTTTTTTAGCCCAATTTCCGTTAACTCTCGCCTTTTTCCTCATCTCTATTTTCTTTTCTTTTTTTGCCGCCGTGTCCTTTATATACACCGTCGGGAAAGATCAAAGAAAGACAGCCGGATGAATTATGGCCAAGTACGAATTGGGGGGATATAAATAAATATATATTTATTTTCTTTTCTTCTTCTTTTTTTAATGGAATGTTTTAGTTGTTGTTGGAAATTTTTTTGAGGAAATAAAAAAAATTTTAAGAAAAAAATATAGGGAAAGGGTCAACAATAATATTTTATTTTTTAATTGAGGAAGGAAAGGAAATGGTAATTTTTATAAAAGTTTTGATTGGAAAACAAATTTTAAAATTTTGGGGAAATAAATATTTAAATGGGGAAAGTTAAACTTTTTTTATAAATTTTTAGGACTTAGAGGTTGCAGTGACGGGAAACGTACAAGACAAACATATTCTCGTACACAAACTTTGGAACTTGAAAAAGAATTTCATTTTAACAAATATTTGACGAGAAAAAGACGACAAGAGATCTCAGAAGCTTTACAATTGACCGAAAGACAGGTTAACATAGAAATGAATTTTTGCTATTTTAATCATTTTTTAGGTCAAAATTTGGTTCCAAAACAGACGAATGAAACAAAAGGTTGGAATTTATTCCTGGGTTTTATTAGAAGAGACAAAGACAAGACAAACACAACCTTAAGCGGAAAACTATCAAATAGGCAAAAAACACTCCAAGAAATTTATTTAAGAACAAACAATATTTACAAAATATCACAAAAGGGAAATTACATATAGATATACAATTATGAAGGGAGAATTGTTTTTCCTATATTATCACACATCTCGGCGTCATCATCTTCCATCAACCGCTTACATGTTGTACTCGATTGGAAGGTTCTTGCGGCGAACCATACCGTCACCCTGGAACCACTCGCGGCGGAATTGCTTGGCTGCTCCTTCCGGGGTGTTGGTCCATTCGACGGTGACACGGTCGTTGTTGGTCGCTTCCGCAGCCGGATCGAAGGCGTCGCAAGAGATGGCGATATTGATGGCCTCCTTCGGGTCGAGAACACCATTGGGCGGGTCCATGTTCAGACGGCGAGGGTTGGTCGTCTTGAAGGCGAAGCCGATACGATGCCCACCAGAGTTGATGATCTGTAACAGTGAAGAAAAATTATTAGATGATTAGATTAGAATAAAGGACAAAAGATTTTACCTTCATGTAGTAGGTGTGCTTGTCGTCGAACGGTGCGTTGAAGATGACCTTCACGGCAGGAAGAGTCGTGATATCGCCGGGTGGAACAGACGCCATTGTTGAGAACGGTTTGTTGTTGTAGCAGGAATTGAAGTTGAAGAGAACTGGTTGATACCGACTGGCGTTCTATTGGCTCTTTTATACTTTATGCTCGAGAATAGAATTCTTGAGAGAGAAACTATAAAAACCTTTGTTATACGCCAGTTCCCCCAACCTGCTTTCTGTTCAACTACACAAACAACGACAACAAACCGTTCTCAACAATGGCTTCTGTTCCACCCGGCGACATCACAACGCTTCCTGCTGTGAAGGTCATCTTCAACGCGCCGTTCGACGACAAGCACACCTACTACATGAAGGTAAAATCTTTTGTCCTTTATTCTAATCTAATCATCTAATAATTTTTCTTCACTTTTACAGATCATCAATTCTGGTGGGCATCGTATCGGCTTCGCCTTCAAGACGACCAACCCTCGCCGTCTGAACATGGACCCGCCCAACGGTGTGCTCGACCCGAAGGAGGCCATCAACATCGCCATCTCTTGCGACGCCTTCGATCCGGCTGCGGAAGCGACCAACAACGACCGTGTCACTGTCGAATGGACCAACACCCCGGAAGGAGCAGCCAAGCAATTCCGCCGCGAGTGGTTCCAGGGTGACGGTATGGTTCGCCGCAAAAACCTTCCAATCGAGTACAACATGTAAGCGGTTGATGGAAGATGATGACGCCGAGATGTGTGATAATATAGGAAAAACAATTCTCCCTTCATAATTGTAATTTCCCCCGGTTTTTTTGTGTGATTCTTATTGTCCCTATTTTCTTGTGTGATTGTTTGTAAATATTATTTGTTTGTAAATAAATTGGGTTTGAATGTGTTCTTGTTATTTTCCAAATTTGGCACAAGCTTTTCTCATCTTTGCTTTGTTGGAGTATGGTTGACTTAATTAAGTCTTTATTCCTTGTTTAGTTCCCATCTTCGATTTAAGAATTATCCTACAATCTCAACCAGTTTAAAGACATTTTTTAAAAACAATGTTAATTGTTGAGTTTTCCTTCAGCCATTTTCGCTTACCAAACTTTTAAATTTACCTAGAAAGAAATAAAATGTACGGATTACGGCGCCACTGAAAGTGCTGGAGAAGAGGAGGATCGAATAGAAAGAAATGTTCCAATGACGTTGATGATGGAAGATAAAAATAATTTAAACCTTTGCCATTTACGGAGCAATGGAATTGGTCATTCGCTTTGAGAAAACCGTGAGACAATATTAAATTTATAAAATGTACTTTCTCATGGATCTCACAAAATTTAAAAACAGATATAAAATTAAGAGATGTCGAAATTAATCCAAAAACAAAAAATTTGTAGAAATTAATGGTGACATCTCTTTTACTCATTTATTACTCGTTTAAATCTATTAACATGAATTCACAAACGAAAACATGAACCTCCCTCTATTAAAACTTTTAAGTATAAATGGGAAGCAATCCACAAAATAATACTTAACTAATCTAAACTGGAAAACAAAAAATTTAAATAAAACGATTTAAACGAGTAAATATGTAATTTTTTGTAAATTTTAGATAAATATTTATTGTTAACCAAAAAAGAATTTTATTTTTATATCAACTCTGTTGAAATGTTGTTTTTTTAATTAGGAAAAAGATTTTTTTGAAAATTTAAAGGGTTTTTTGAAGCTAGGGAAATCGGAAAAATATTGAGAGGAACATTACTGTGAGATTTTTTTCGAAAAAAACAACATTAAAATAAAGTTTAAATTTTCTTCCCAACAAAATTCAATAAATCCAGTGCTAAAAAAGAGATTGATATAAAATTTAATAAAAATCAATCTCCTTCTAAAATTACTTATTTTCATTATATTTCTGTCCAAAATTTTATTACGATAAAATATTCAAAAAAAAGAAACAAATTTCAGATATAAGAAATTTTATTTTTATAAAATATTTTAGTAATTTTTTGGCCACAAAGGCAGTTAGTATTTGAAATTATAATTTTTTCATATCAAAAACTGAATCTACTTTTAAATTTTGTTAAAGAATATTTCCCTTCTATTTTTTAAAATATAACTTTATTTTTGTTGGATCGGCTAAACAAAATTGTTTTTCTATAAAGATTAAATTCTCTTAATTAGTCGATTCAGTTTAACTTTAGAAATTTTTTTTTAAAATAAATTGGCCAATATTGAGAGAGATATAAAAAATATATTTTCTTTAAATTCTTCAAAAAAAATTTCTAAGAAGGACCTAACAAGAGTTCATGTGAACATTCTTGTTCCATAAAAGTACTAAGCCGTTCAAGTAATTCATCAGTCACAACTTCACAAGCAATAGCACCATTTCCGAATGGATCGAATGGCATTGTTTGGAAACTGCCGGTATCTGGAGTAAAATTACGAACTTCTTTCCATAAATTTTTTGTACGATCAAGTCCCGCTGCTGCCATATGAGCTAAAAAATTTTTTTATTTAAAATTAAATCTAGAAATCTTTAACTTAAAACAAAAAATTGCCAAAAATTTCAATTCATTTTTGTGGAGTCAATTAATTTCTTGTCAAAGACACGCAGAATTTAGTTATCAACTCGTAAACTCAAAAAGGAATTAGTTAAGGAAATGAGTTAGTCAAATTGGAACATAATATCAGGTCGTTTCAAGCAGTAAATATCATCAGAAATGGGGCCAGATTTCTTTAAAGGGGTATCCAAATGCTGTTAAGACTCGAGGCAAATATTCTGTTTATTGTTAGTTAGATTTTGTTTGCGATTTATTGATTACTACATGGGCAAATCAACACAATTAAGGAGAAATCGACAAACGATAATTATTAAAATTATTGTCTATCGATTTCTTATTTTATTAAAAATAATTTCTATACCATCCATTTCCTGATAACTCATTAAAAGTGGCGCAACGATCAAATCAGTGTCTTCAATTGTCTAAAAAATAAAATTTAATAAAATTAAATAAAATTTAAAAGATAAACTGGTTGTGTAGTTGTGTGTAAATGTGCCTCAATTTCATTACAATTTGTAGCTCTAAATTGATAACAAGCAGCAAGTAAAAGACAATTTGTACAATTTCTCATAAAAACACTGAAAAAAAATAATTTTAAAAATTTATATTTAAAAAAACCTTCCACGTGAAGGTCCGCAAATAAAAATACAATTATTGCAATCTTCAATAATAACTGAAGAAACATAATCAAGTAAAGCTAGAACTGAACTCTAAAATTATTTTGAAATTTAAAAGTTTTAGAAAATATAAGGAATTAAACAGATAGACTGTTGTGCAGTAGGGTAAGTATAAAAGTTAGTGTTAGTCTAGTTGGATCATACTAGCCCGGCTAATCCAGGATCTTTTGCCTACATTGTAAGTTCAATCCCCTTTTAAAATTTTTGGCTCTATCTTAGGACATGCGTCCCATGAACTTTTATGCGTCCCATGAATGTTTATGCGTCCCATGGAGGTTTATGCGTCCCAAAAATAGTATATGCGTCCCATGAAAGTATATGCGTCCCAAAAATAGTATATGCGTCCTATGAAAGCTGCCACGGCCCAAGAATTTATATGCGTCCTAAAATTAATATAAGCGAAAGAGAATTTTGTAAACTTATTTTGCCCAGCCATCGCTAATGATGGTTCAACATTTTCAGTATTTACATATCGTAAATGTTCAAATAATGGTCCATTTGTATTAAAAGCAATCAAGAAGGACTTTTTGAAAAATATAAACCAAGGCCTCATTTTAAGTAAATTTGTAAAACGTAGTTGTAAATTACCAGCAAAATTATTAGCTCCAAGTTCAAGGACTAATATTTAATTGTCATTAATAAAATTAAAAAATGTTTTTGCAATTGTTTTACGCTTATTTTAATTTTGGGACGCATATATTTTGAAGGGACGCTTATACTATTTTTGGGACGCATATACTTTCATGGGACGTATAAACCTCCATGGGACGCATAAACTTTCATGGGACGCATAAAAGTTCATGGGACGCATGTCCTAAGATAGAGCCAAATTTTTCCCTTCCCCATTTCGGGAAGGGAGCTTTAGCCCCAGAAGCCCTCCCCCGTGGCTATGTACGTGATTGTAACATTATACTTTAGATATACTGTTATTCTTGTAGACGCTGACTTAAGGAAATCTCGAACAACCCTCCTCAGTCATAACACAGACTAGGCCACAGGTCACATAAAAGATTCTTTAACACAAGTTTGTTCATTCAAATCAATAAAAGCATTGTCAGCATTCATTAAAGGTGGATAACCTTGCGCAGAGGACATTGACCCGCTCTCTGAAGGTGAAGATCTTCCACCACTTGCTGCCAAATCTTCTGAAGATGAACTTCCACCGCCACCTTTGGAAGAACCTTTTTTTGATGGTTTGTGTGTAAATGTGAACATTTTGAAAAAAAAATTTAAAAAAAATAATTAATAAATTTCAAAAAAATTAATAAAAAATATTAGAAGTGAAGAAAATCGCCAATACAAAAAAAAATCTAAAAAATTCTAAATTAATTTCCTATTTTTTATTTACTAAAAATTAAACAAAAATAAACAACAAAAATCATTCAGGATGATCATATTCGCTTTTTTCCTTTCTTGGATAAGCGCCTCTACGAGGAAACCAAGGCATTAAAATTCCACTATATGGACGTCCAATGTCTAAAAAAATTAATATTTTTAAGGATATTCTGATTTAGAATTAAATATTAAAATTCGAATAGGGAACCATTGAGAAATGTGTTAATAAAATTAATGTCATACAAGTGCATTAGTCTCAAATCATGCAAAATACCAACTTAAGTGACAACAGGATTTTATACTTTTATGCTTAAAAAATAAACCCAGCTAAAAAACAATTTTTCTCAGAAAATTTTTTGTCAGTTAAACTCCCGGAAAAATTAAAATTCAAACAATCAGAAGTCCGATCAAAATCATCAGGATGTAATTCCATATAATGCTCGATAACTGCATCTCTTGTAGCCATATTGTAAACACGATTTTTACCAGCATAATAAGCGAGGCACATCCCCCCAGATATAAGCAAAGATTTTACAACAATTGCTGTTTAAGAGAGAAAATTTTAGAAAATATTTTTGGTTTGAAGGGAAAATTTTTAAAAGAATTTTAAGTAATTTTATCGATCCGGTGGGGCTATTAGTCAAAATTCAGGTAGTCAATTTCAACCATTATCATCATTTTATTGCTAGTTCAATTTAAAGTAAGGATGACTTTTATTTTACCCCGATGTAAATTAAAATAATAAAATACCCTTAATTATTTAAAATAAAAAAATAACCTTGGTACCACGGCTTTCTGTAGAAGATATTATAGTAACTACACTGAAATAAAAAGAAGTCAAGATATGCAACTAGACAAAGCAAGTTAAAACCAGCCTTTAACATTATTAAATGTCAAATTTAGCCAGTTATGAACTACAAATCATTGGATGGGTCAAAGCTTTATTGTCAAGATGATATTTCAGATAAAAGGAAACCCTCCCCCCCCCCGTAAATCCCCAAAATCAATTTCTAAAAAGGCAAATAAAATTTAAAAAAATTAACCGATGTTATACCAGCAATGCCAGCAGCCAAAGTCAACTTAGCTTGCAAAGGCCAACTAAACGGATCGAAAATGTTGTATTTAATTTGTCCTTCAGTCAAAAATGTCTCCCTCCTTTTAAATTCCTCAGGCGAAATTTTAACATGTTGTCCATTAAATACCATCAAAAAAATTAAAGAAAATCCTTTAAAATTAAAAACTCAAAAATATTTAAATGAATAAACAAATTATTAAAAAAAAATTAAAAAACAATTTATCGATTTTACTACACAAAATATCCTTAAAACACAAAATAACTCCCAATTTAGACTTTATTTATTTTCCTACAATTTTTTATTTTTTCCTTCTTAACGATCAAAATCAGCCGGGAATGTTCCACTTTCACGCTGATCATCCCATTTCTCAACCCAAAAACTTGGACACATATCACGATAGACATTTTGGAAGAATTTACACGGAGCATAGTCTTCACCCATTAATTCTTTGCAACGGAAAAAGTCAACATAATAAGCTAAAAATAAATGTTGTAGTATGAAGTTACGAAAAAGAAAGCAGAATCAATGAAAAAAATTTCTTCATCCAAAATAACTGGGGAAACTTAATTAAGCTTATTTATATAATCGGAATAGTTCAAAATACTTTCATAATTTGGGGAGGATGACATTTTCTGCTTTCAATTAGAAGAGGATTTAAGAAACTAAATTTTATACCAAAACAATGGCGCTGCTTACGGCACTGTGGAAAGCGCGAATCATATGGAGCAGCCTAAAATAAACAAAAATAATTTTTCATTTAAAAAAAGCAAACCCAAGCAGTCTCGTTTTTCGATTTCTCATGAAATTCTTTAGTCCAAATTTTCTAAAAAATTAACAATTAAAAATGAAAGAAAAAGAACTCGTTTACTGGATCATCCGGAGATGGCATAAGAGGTCCACCTTTTTCCTTCAATTTCTCAAGACGCTCACCAAGTGTATCAGGAATTTCAAATCCATCAACAAAAATCGGCATCTTTATTTTACTGGAAAATTATTTAAACGAAAAAATCTGAAAAAGAAATAAAAAAGATTTTGGGTTATTGATAAAAATCATTAAAGAAAGGAAAACAAAAATTGAGAAAAGATCAGAAAAGCCGATTCAGTCAGATCCAGGCCCGTAGCCAGGGGGGGGGGTGAGGGGGGGAATTCCCCCCCCCCCCCCGAAATGGGAAAAAGGAAAAAATTTGGGGAAGGGCTGGGGCAAAAAAAGTGAATTTTTTGGCCTACGGCCTCTGAAATTTAAAAAATTTTCGCCTGCGGCGCTAAAAAAGGAAGAAATCTAGCTTCTTGAGGTCCAAAATTCAAAAAATTTTCGCCTGCGGCGCTGAAAATCAAATTTTTGGCGCCTGCGGCGCCGAAAAAGTGAATTTTTTTGGCCTACGGCCTTCTAAAATTCTCAAAATTTTCGCCTGCGGCGCTGAAAATAAAAATTTTTGGCGCCTTCGGCGCCAAAAATTTGGCGCAGAAAAAATTCCCCCCCTCGAAAAAAAATCCTGGCTACGGGCCTGGTCAGATCATAGTAAAATTCGAACCGGCTAGGGAAAAGAATCTTCACATCAAGACCTCTCAAATATTAAAAGATCTATGAGAAATGCTAAAAACCCTCAAAGTTATTGATCGAATATAACTCAGCACTCAACCGGCATGACCCGTCCGTTATTCTAACGGGTAGGGAATCATGTATTATTCCTTGTCCCTGGAATGGGCCATAATTTTTCAGTTCTTATCATCCTAGGGATTTCGAATTGGTAAGAAGCTACTCCGATAAGATGCTGTTTTTTTTAACTCAAAGGGCGTACAATAAGGAAAGGTGTAACAATGTTTGTAAAAATATTTTAAAATAAATTAGCTGGATTTATTCAACCAAAAATGCATGTAAAAAAATATGCTAAAATAATTTATTGAGAAAGTCAATGAAAAAATTTGAAATATTTTTTAAAAATATATTTATTTAATTCTCCAATAAATCCAAAACTTTATTTTCGTCTTTCCAAATTCTATTCCTTCATAATTTTAATTTTAACGTAAAAACTTTCTTCATTACAAAACGAAAATTTAACCGTTGGATCGTGAATGTTGACAACTTGATAAGTGGTAGATTTTGTATCATCTGATTTCTTAATTTCAGCATTTTTTGCTTTGTCGTGTAATTTAAGAGTTGTGCAACTATCAAAATGAAGAATAATGACAGGTACCATTTTCGAAAAGTCTTTAGATGTTGCCACATGCTGAAAATTGCAAATTTATTTTTAACTTTGAGGTAAATGAGTACAGCCCTGGAAAACTAATGACCCTGCTGAAAACACCAAAGGGAATAATGAGGGATTTGGGGTGATTAAGGAGATATTTACTCAGTCGGACTAAGCTCAAATCTAAGATTAGATTCAGACTGGGGAAACTGATTACATACTGGTAAATCTCAAATACAGAAAGAACACTTCTTGTGCTTTTTACCAGGGACCAATAAACTAGAGTATCACCGAGATATCAATAGATTGGTGTCCGGAAAATTGGGCTCTAAAGTTACGCGCGGTGAATTGTGAATGTGATCCATCTAAATAACTTGATATTCCCTTACAAAATTTGTTCGGGGGGTGTAAGTTTTCAGGGTTGACCCCAATTAAATAACTTACTTCAACAATATGATTATAAACATCTTTGGTAAATCCTGGAGTAGAATAGAGCGTCACATAAACTTCTTTTCGAAATTTGTCTCCTCCATATAATAAAATTTTGAACAAATCATTTTTATAGTTCTTCAAAGTGTCAATATCAAATATCCAAAAAGAAAGTCGATGATATTCGCTAACCAAATTGTTCGAAATAAATTGCATTAAAATGTCAACATTGTATTCTTGAGCAGAAATATTGCAATTTTGAACATAAAATTGTTTGGCTTCCCCAAATAATAATTCAATCACTTCTGGATTGATTATATAGTCTTCAAAGTAGGAGCATTTAAAAATACATTTGAATAACTTGCTCAAATAATAGTAAACTATCTCGACATCCTCTTTGCTTTTAATCATGGCTGGCAGTCGAAGTATATATTCTTTTGTTTTGTCAACTGAAAATTTTTTAGTTACGTAAAAGAAAATTTGAAAAGCTATCGGACTCTTCGACTAAAAAAATGAGGCAGAGCTGGCCGCAATTGCGTGTTATTTTTGACCGCTTTGCGGAAAACTTTTTCATTTTCGGTAAGAAGTCAAATTAGCAAGTCTTTAAGGAACCAAGCAACCGTTGGCTCTTGAGAGAAGCGTCTCACTATTTATCTTCTCGCTGGAGTCAGCGGTCATTCGACCGCTTTTGCCGCTTCCTCCGCAGCGGCAACAACTCTAAGCCAATTTTTAAACTAAAATTAACCTGTCTCCAAAATAAGATCTTCTTTGTCCGGACCATGACAACTTAAAAACAAAGGAATTGGGTATTCAAATCCATTTTTGAACTAAAAAAAAGGAAATTTGAAGTTTAAACACATTAAATACCTTCTCTTCAAGTCCTTTAGGCAATGGAGAACCAAAATTTTCAGCTTTGGGTTTTATCAAAAAACGAGGAAGTTCGTCACTACCGAGATAACCCTTAAGTAAAAACTTTTTTTCAGAAATTAATTAAAAAGCAATTACAAGAGAAATCATATTAAACTTCTCCTTAGCAAATTCCCCCTCATATTTAGTAACAAAATTGTGAAAATAAACATTCGAGAGTTTGAATGCCAATAATTGTTGATAGTTAAGACATTTAAAAATGTCAATTTTCGTTTCATTTGGAAAAGAATAAAGCATTTTTAAAAGAAAGTTTAAATAAAATAAATCCTAGAAAATTTAAAAAATAACAAAATAAATTATCTTTAGCCAACTAAAAAAAGGCTATCCAAAAATTGCCAATTAATTAAACACCAACTAGAGACCGGCAAAATCGCATTTCCGGGATCCCGAGTCGGGATTTTTTTTCTTGACCGATGCCGGGACGGGATCCCGAGGGAGTAATCCCGAAAAAATCCCGGATCCCGAATGATCCCGAAAATCAAAAAAATCCGGGATTTCGGGATCGGGATCCCGGAAAATCCCGTCGGGATCCCGTCCCGCGCCGGTCTCTAACACCAACACACAAAATGCCAACAAGGCTAAAAATGTACATTATGCCAATAAGGGCAAAATTTTAAAAATTTGTCAAGAATTTATTCTCTTCCTCCGCTTACTATCTTTCACTCAAATATCTGTCATTAGGAGTGTGTAAAAATTTCGCTTTTTGCCAAAAATAGCGAACGGCGAAAGACGAGTCAAAAAAGGCGAAAATCGGCGAAAGGCGAAAAAAACTATTATCGAATTTAAAAAAATTTAATTAAAAACCCAACAATTTTAAAATTCCAGTGGGGTACTCAGTCAACTAACTAACAAAATTAGTTGAAGAACTGAGGGAAAACAAAAAAATTGACAGAAAAAAACAGAAAAATTGACCCTTATTGACAAGATAAACGTTTAAAGTATTATTGGCAAAATGCACAATAACCTTTTGCAATGTGAAATATGCGAAACGCTCAAAATTTAAAAATAATTCTTTTATTTTACAATCAAAGTAAATGAAATACAAATTAAAAGATTTGTGTAGAATTTAAAGAGATTTTTCTATTCTGACGTTTCTATATTTACATCTATTTGAACATCACTATCATCATCATCCAAATACCTTTCATCATTAAGAAATGCTGTATATTTCTCTTTATTAGCAGCACGATTAACAACAATTCTAAGCTCATTCATAAGTTTTTCATCTTCTTGTTCTTGTCGCCAACGTAAATAAATATATACGAGAAAGCCAAGTGCAATAGTTAGCGCAAATATTAAAGTTGAAGAGACAACAATAACCTCAGCTTCTTCAGATTCGAATATCTTTAAGAAAAAAATAAAGCTTTTTTAGCTCAGAAATTACCCCCCCCTCTCCTTACCTCATCGCTAAAACTTTCCATTTCTGATTCAGCAGGCTTCAAAGCATTGGGGCACCACCTCTGTGTGAGAAAATGTCTCACATCAATTGATAAATTCATTTTTGAAGAGAGTGAAAGAAATATTTGGATATTGACTTTATCATTATTAGCTTTTATATACCGTATTTTCTCTAATAGTGCGACTGTCTCTAATAGACCGACCCCTTCTATTAAATCGACCCCCTAGAGGAAGGTTGAAAAATAAACCGACCAGTCGCACTATTAGAAGAAATACGGTATTTGTGGAATTTTTGGAACGGATGGAATTTTTAAGGAAATTTTTTGAAGACTTTTTGCAGACTTTATTTGGGTAAAAGTTCTGGGGTTTTTTCATTTACAAATTAATTAAATTCAGAATTTTTAATGCCTAAAATAATTTAACTAAAAATTTTCTCTCATTAAATTTCAATTTTCTAAAATCTTTTTTATCCTCCCTTCTTTCGTAGTTGGCCGGCCAAACAATTTTATTTACACAATTATAACCCCAAAAATATCTTTACTCTCTCGGGATTTAGTCGGCAATAGAGAAAATATCCATCAAAAAGATATATTTATAGTTTTTGACCGCTATTTTAAATGCCGCCTTTTCTTTATCTTTCCGCATTACACCTTTGAAACGATGGGCAAGGTCGGTCAACTAGAATGACAAGAAGGTAAAAAAATTAAACTTTAAATTTATTCTGAGATTATAATTTAATTATAAATAATCGAGAATTGAGGATTGGAAAGAAAATGGAATTTTTAAAAGATTTTTGGAGAATGGTTTGGAAAAATATAATAGTGAAAACTGTTTATGTTTGACCTTTTTAAATAAAAAATAGCCCTCAGATTCAATTATAGCAATTACTTAATATGCCCCAATTTAATTATTTGACAAACCTAGTTGTAATTAAAAAGGCTATAAATAAGATTTTTATAAAGAAACGAATCAAAAGCCTTATGTAATTATTTAAATAAGACCATCGGACTAAAGAAGGGAATCGCAAAAAATAACCCAAAAAACTTAATTATTTCCTGTAGCTTTACTTTTTAATTTTTTTCAAAAGATTTTCTAAATCCCCATTTTCTCAAAATATTTTCATTCATTTTTGTGCCACTCCTTTAAATAAAAGAATATGGTATACATACACCCCATATGGCCTTATTGCGCAATCAAATTTTCCCTTTTTTAATGAAAAAGGGAAGCGCGGCATTATTTACTTAAATAAGCCGATAGCTAAATATTTAAAGAAGAAAATAAATATATTTATTTATTTAATTCTTTTATTTATCATTTTTAAATTGCCGTCAACAAAAGAAAATAAAAGGCAAAGACAAAAGCCGGCGAAGATGTTAATCCCTTAAAGCAAAATTGAAACATTTGGGCGCAGGGAAAGTATGGCGTGGTTGTGTAAAATTATCAGAAGAATTCCTAGACCGATCAAAGTTTTACTAAAACTTTTCTAAAACGTTTAGATTGGGCATTTTAGAAAATTATGCCGCAATTCTATATTTAAGGATATTCGATTTTAAAAGCTTCACAATCTAAAGCCGCCCAAAGCCCTGCGCCCAACCTTTCCCTACCCTTACAGCAATTGATCTCCTAAAGGAGCCCCTAAGGGTTAATGGGAAAATAAATAGGAAAAGGGTGACACTGTAAAAAGCAAAATAGTTTTTGTTTTGTTTTAGCGATTGGCTTAAAAGATAAGCTCTATAAAAGGCAATTTATATTAAATGATTGAATAGAGAAAGGAGAAAAAAAGGGGTTTTTATTAATAAATTGGACTCATTACAATCCACTTATAGCGAGGGAATAAAAAATCCCCTTTAAAACAAAACATGTCCTCTCTTATATAATTAATGGAAATATATCGGGAATGGGAAAATAAATAAATTTAGAAGGAGGGAGAGGGGAGATTTTGAGGGAGATTACGGCAGATTTTTGTATATAAAAATTTTGTGATTTATTTAAAGGAATAAATTTTGATTGTAAAACTTGGGAATATTTATTTAATTAATTACTGTACTAGATAATTGGAAATTACTTTTAAGTTGTCCTCTCCTCTTTTATTTTAATTAATTTTTGTTAATTAAATAAAAGTTTTATAACTAAGGGTTGATTTACGATATACCGACATTAAATCAACATTCCTGTTATAATTTTACGAATCTCTTGTGATCTAAATGGGGGAGATGAGTTTGTATTAAATTTTAGATTTCTTCGCTTCTTTAACTTTTTAATTAGTAAATTAACACAGGGGAGAATTTAGTTTGCCCGAAATTTGATAGTTTTTTTTTAAATTCCCCCCGTCCTTGTAATCAACCATCCCTACGTATGAATTTTTCTCCATGATTCGACCCATTTCGGCAATTATTCTACCATTTGACTTAAATATTAACACCTTCAAATAAAAAAATTCTGCCTTAAACATATAACCCTGTATTTTTCCCTACTTTTATTTTAATATCTTTTCCTTCTTAAAAAATTTTTTCAAAAGTCCCTACAAAATTTTCAGTCTTTCCTCTATTTATTTTATCATTCTCCAAACCACTAAAAATTCTTCTCAATATTTTTCTTTTATTTATTCTTTTCTTCAACTCGTTGCTTTCACCACCAGGTAATCCATCATATTTTTGTCTTTTTTTCTTCACCACATCCTCCTTCCTTCATTCTCTTTTTTTAATAAAATTATTTTTCAAAAAGTTTTTGTGTGTGCGACTGACTGGCGGCGGTTTATAGAATAAAAAGAAGTACGGGTTATTATATTTATTTTGGGTGGGCTAAACAAGAAATTATTAAATATTAAAGAGCTATTAAAAGGCCGTAGGGGGAAAGTATTTTCCTTCTTCTTCTTCTCCTTTTTTGGAGAATTAATAATTGGAGAAGAGTATATCTACTGTATTTTTGTAAGTAAATGACGAAGTTAAAAAAGGAAGAGAAGATTAAGGGGGCCGACCACTCTAATTTGTAAGAGGGTCTAATATATCCCATTAACAATACCCAAGTCGAAGCAATTTTATGATTTTTGACTAAGTTTTCAAATCCTAAAAAGTTTGAAAATTTTTTAGCGGAATGGGAGAGTGCCTTTCCATTTAAATTATTTGTTAAAAGGGTATTAGGTGTTTTTGAGACTAAAAACCCCCAATGAAATTAAAGGGAGGGTGTGAGTTATTGATAATTCGGAAGATCTATCAAAACTTCGATTTTTTAAAGAAGTAAAAAAATATTTATATTTAAAAATTAAAAAATTTATTTGACAAGAAATTTGTGAAAAAAGAAAATTTAAAGAAAATTTTCAAAAAAATATACAAAATTTATTTGATTAATTATTTGAGAAAATTTAAATTATATAAATATATTCATTGTTTACAATTTAGAGGTTTGATGTGTATAGAAGAATCAGAGGTTTTAAAATGAAAACTATGACTGTAAGGAATTACTGTAGAAAATATAAAGAATTTTTTAAAGGGGGAAGAAATTTGAATTTAAAAATTAGAAAAATTTATTTGACAAGAAATTTTGTGAAAAGATTTTTTCCCTTTTAACTAAAATTAACAGAAAACAAGCATTTTTTACCTATTTGAGTGAGAATTTTAAATAATGCCAAAAACATGCTAGGCCGACAAAACTTATACATATTATTCACCCTAATATTTGCTAAATATAAACACTTTTTCTGTTTCTTTTTTACAGTAAAACACAGTCATTGCACAAAAACAATTTGGAGGAAATTGAAAGAAAGGAATGAGAATATTTAATGTTTTTTGGGTGAAGGAGAAGGTCCATCAGAAGAAGAAGAGGAAGAACCAGCTAAGGAAGAAGGGCATGAACCTGGAACTTTTTGATTATTTAAATTTTGTTGTAAAATTGTTGGGGGTAGTGGATTTGTTGTTGAAGTATTCCAATTTGTTGAACGTAGAAAGGCTGTTTCTTTTTGTTGTTTTTTCATCTTTAAAGAAATTTTTTTGAAAAGAAAATTATTGTTTTGAATGGGGATAATTAGAAGTAAAAATAATTATTTAAATTTTTAATTGAGAAAAAATTTTTTTTTAATTTATTCTTAACAAAAAATAAAAAACCTTCATTCTCCTATTTTGAAACCAAATTTTAATTTGGGATTCGTGTAGCTGCAACATTGCGGCAATTTCTGCTCTTCTACTTTTGTTTAGATATCTATAAAAAATAGAGATTAAGAAAAAATAATTTATAGGAAATAATTTGAAGAGTTAATAATTTCCTTTCCTCCACTTCCCCTTCCAGTCAAGACTTTGAATAAAAAGAAGCAAATTTTAATTTTGGTATTTTTAAAAGGTTACACAAAGCTTTCAACAGAAAGGAAGCTTTTCACAACTTCTTCCCTCTTCTTCCTTTTTTTATTCCCTAATTTCTCCCCAAAAATTTATTTAAATTTAACTAATTAAATACTTGTTTGTATGAAATTCCTTTTCCAATTCAGTTAATTGATGATAAGTAAAGTTTGTTCGATTAGTTACATTCTCCTGTGCCCCCAATGGAGATATTGACGATATTAAAGAAGTTGAATTTGTTAAAGAGTTATTTATTAAATTATTATTATTAATCGCCTCTTTATTAATTATTGAATGTCCATTTAATGCTGAAAATATTTAATTGTTAGAGGTATATACTACAATTTTTTTGGAGAAGGAAGGGATTTAAAAAGTTTTTGCCAATAAAGAGGAGGGAGACCCTTCTGTCTGTGAGACTCTCTATAGAAAGAGACTTTCTCTAAATTTAAAGGCCCTTTTCAACAAATAATACTTTCAATACGGAGCTTCCAATCACTCCTTTTCCTGCTAGAAACACTAAAAATCTGGACGTTATCGATAGCCATTTGTTCCAAAATAAATTCTAACCAAATCACCCCCCCCCTTTCAATGCCAGAAAAAGTTTTATTTTCTTTGATTTATTTATGGCCTTTCTCCTTCATTAAAGGTGTCAAAGTTGACCCAGGAAAAGCAAAAATAATAAAGTATTTAATAAGAAAGTTTTAACCTGCCACAGTTCCTTGAATGAAGGAGGAAGTGGCTATTGTTGTTGAAGGTTTATTATTTCCGTTAATATTCCCGTTATTATTTCTTTTTACTTGCATCCATTTATATTGCTCTATTAGGGGAAGTTGTTTTGATTGGTGATTATCATTGTAATTATTTGTTGTGGAGGTGGTGGATTTTGTTATGTTATTGTGTTTTAATTGTTGATTTCTTTTACCCCCTTTTTAATTTAAAAGAATTAATTGGAAGGAGAGGTATGGGGTGGGGTAGGGGGTTTAAATAAATTTTCAGTTAATTTCCGGGACTCTCTTAAAATCAAGCTAATCTGATAAACTGACATTATTTATTAATTATATTGAGGATTTACTCCCTCATTAACTGTATAATTGTTTTGATTGGTAAAGATATCCTTCCCTATATTTTGAAAGGTTAAGGGAAGTTTTCTCAGTTAAACTTAATTTTTTTCTTAATAGAAAAACTTACTAGGACCGCGTTTTTTAACTTGTTTAGGTATTGTAGAGGGTGTATTTACAATAAAAGAATTATTTGAGGAGGAAGGAGGGGGAGGGTTATTATTAGAGGACATTGGAAATGTTGAATTATTTTGAATTTCGTTTGTTGGTTGTTGTTCTTCTTTTAAAGGGATTATTTGGTGGTTATTTAAATTAGGATTTCCATAAAAATCAACTAAATGAGAAGGGAATCCTCCGTCATTTCCTCCTCCAATTACTGTGGAAGGCGAAGGAAGTACTGAAGAAGAATTGTTAATTGATAACCAATGATGATGATGTTGGTGATGAACTGAGGGATCGGAAGAGAATAATTGATTCTGTTGTTGATCCATGGGACAAACTGTCATCGAGGAAAGACCGTGTAAATGATTGGGAGCTTCATAATTGGGTTGAATAAATTGATGGGAAGAAGCTGTTGAAGGCTGGAAATATTTGGGAGATTTTTATTGTTTATAACGATTAAATGTTTAATTGGATGACTATTTTCTAGTCTTTTATTTCTTATTGAACCGCATTTATGGACAGATTTAACATCCCCTTCCTCAAAAGGGAAGGGGATATTCTTAACAGATTTAGTTCCCCTAAAACTTGAAATGGTGAACGTTCTTAACCAAAATAGGACGTAGATAATCCCCCTCCTATTTTATTGTTGGACAACCTTCTCCCATCTTCCCCCCAATCCAAACCTGTTGTTGATTATGCATTCCCCCACCCCCATTCCCAATAATTCTTTGTTGGAATGTTTGTGAATGTTGAATATTTTGATAATAATTAGAAGGTGTTGGATCCAATGATTGTGTTTGTATCATTGTAGAATTAGAAGGAAGATGGAAAGGGTCTGCTGAGCAACTCATTTTATGATATATTTTTAATTCAAAATTTTTGCTTAAAAATTAGTATTTTATTTAATAATTAATTAATATATGTATTTACTGACTGGAAAATAAATTGTTATGGCAATTCCCTTACCTTGAGACAGCAGGGTGAGGGAGTTATTTCTACTATAACAACAGCCTACCTGTGGTACACGCCCAAAACGGCGCGCGGCCATAACGGCTAAATTGCTTCAAGATTTCTTAATCCTACCAGATTTAGTATCAAACGATTCCTCCAAACATTTTCCAGCAAGCTATGGCTTTGTGCGGTTTTGGGCTGTAACAACTACATATATCTGTCCCTGCCTAGTAAATTATCAGAAATATTTAAAAATTTTCTTTATTCCATGACGAGTCATCAAAAAATTTTTTTATGAAATGCAGGAGATGCTCGACTATAGTACCTAAAACTCTTTGAAGGAGAGATTCACGTTTAACATTAAAATTACAAAAAAAATATTTTTATGGTCCCTCTCCTTTTAATTTCAACTTCCCAAAACTCCAAAAAGGAAACAAAATTAAATTTAAAATTTTACTAAAATTAATTAATTAAACTTAAAAAGTTTTGAAAAAGGCGGCAATAATAAAAGGAATAAAAAAAGGTAGTAAATATAATATAGCAACTAATAAATTGGGGGGTAAATGGAAAATGAATGGCCTGGTGGGTAAAAGAAAAAAGGGTTAGAAGAAGGAAGGAAGAAGTAAAGGAAGATGAGTGATGGGCGGGGCGGGCGGTTCTGTTAAGGGGGGTAAAAATATATTTTTAATATTTTGTGGGGAAGAATAAATAACTGTGTTTGATGGGTGATATGAAAAGCAAAAGAATTTAAAGAAGAAAGAAAGAAAACTTTTAGGTAAAAATACTTTTTTTGTCCTCAACACGGCTGTCGGCCGTTCTATAAGGGAAAGGGGATTTTTGGGCGCAATAAGGGGTAATCGAAGACTTACAAAATAGGCAAATAACCCCCTCTAAAACCATGAAATTTTGTTTAGAAGCTGGATAATCTTCAATACATACTTTAATTCACTAATTCACGGATACCGGCTTCGGATGCTTCAAGTTTCCCAGACTTCGGATGCTTCGGGTTTCTCATGATCAGCCAACCCTATTCATTGTTTAAAACGTGGAATTTTCGAGAATATAGTGAATTTAGCTAATTAATTTTTGGTTATATGTAACTTATGAAATAAAAAATAGAAATTCTTTTTTTAATTTCTAAAAAAGTTATTCAACATTTATTGACAACATTCGTAAAAAATTTTTAAGTATAAATTTATATAAAGGGGGAAGTTATTTGTTCGCGCCCAGTAATTACTGCGCCGAAACGTTTTTTCAATTTTTCGAAGGACTATGAAGGAGGATATAAATTCCTTTTTTACCGGCCATAAATCAAAGAGACAGCTTCTGTGGCAGTTCATTCCTTCCACCTTACCTTCTTTCCTCTCCTTCTTTCTTCTACTATTTTTGACTGTCTTAACTTTTCACATTTTTCTTCAATTTCTTTTTTTCATTCCCGCGAGAATATATTACTTACTCTTTTTTTCTTCACATTTTAACGTCCTTGAAAGAAACTTCTTTTTAAAACCTCCAATCGGCTGTCTGGGCGGGCTAATAATTTATGAAAAAAAAGAAATTTTTGACGAGTAAAATATATTGACATTGAAGAGAAGGAAAGAAAGAAGGAAGAAGGGGGGAGTGGAGGGGGGGAGGGAGGGGTAGTTCTTTGGCCTAAAGGGTTATTTTTACTGTATTTATTAATGAGCATTACACGCCTTTTATTAAATAAAAAGTAAACGATTAATTAATTAAAATTGATTAAAAGCGCAAAATAACAAAAATAATTTTTAAATTAAAATCAATAATTTCTTTTAATTAAATTAATATATTTAATTCAGATTTTTAAATGTAAGGAAGGATCTGGCGATGATAAGCGAAAATTAATTATTTTTTCGAGTCTTGGGTTTAGACCAAAAATTTTCTTAAAATTGTGGAAGATGTTTAAATTTTATATTTGCTCGAGAGAATTCAGATTTAATTAAAAAGAGAATTTCGTTGATTTGAGTGTTTAGCTAAATCCGAAGTTTAATGTTTTACTTTATTTTCTTTAACAAAATGGCCGGTCATTTTATTTTTTATATTCAATTGGAGTTGGTTATTGTAAAATAGAGAAAATATAATAATTATTTAAGATACACAAATAGTTGATTACTTCTTGAGCTTTAAAAGGTTTTTTAAAAATTTGAAATAAATTTTATTTAAAAATAAATATGAAAATAAATATTTTTCTTTTTCTTTTTTTTCCTAAAAATTTGTAAAGAAAAAAAAAGATAAATGTTTTTATTTGTCTTTTTCTCGATTTTGATCTTCATCTCTAAATATTTAACTAATTTATTTTTCTTTCTTCCCTTCATATGCAAATTCATTCATTTATTTTATTTCTTGGCAAGGCCATTTTTAAATATTTTTAGCAATTTGTCATTGTCTGCCATATTTTGGGAAATAAATGGTATTTGTTTGTTTTGTTTCTTTTTTAAAAAAATAAAAATTTTTTTATCAAAATTTTATTTTCTAGAATCATAAATTACAATTAAAATCTAATTTAAAATTTTAAAATGAAATTATTTAAAAACCCCATTCAAAACTAAAGACTTCAATTCTGATCTCTAAATATCAAGGGTATATCGAATCAATGGGAAACTGTCTCTATTTTTATATTTAAAAGAGAAACTATCCTGATTGGAGTTTTAAATATAGAATGGTACAAAAAATAGATTTATCATTTATTTATTTATTTATTTATTTTCATTTCAATTTTCGTAATATTTTGTATATTTTTTAAGATGTTTTGATTATTTATAATTAAAACCTTTAGCCAACTCATAGTTTTTGTTATTCAATCAATCCATTTTAGCCTTTAATTTCTCTAGAAAAATTATTTTTTTTGTTAAAACTTTCTTTCAAATTTTTTTTATTTTAATTTTGAATATATCAAATTAAAATTAAAATTCTTATTTTAAATTATTAATTATTTCCTCAAAATACAAAAATATAAAACAAATCACAGTTCGAACAATAGAGAATAACATTGTCAGACTATAAATAATTTCAACAGTCACCACCCAAATAAGCTATTGGATCTTGAGAACTTTTAACTTTTCTGCCTAATTTTATTTTAAAATTTGTTTGTTATGCCAAATGAATGCTTTGTTTTAACTCGAAAATAAATATTTTTTATCAAACAAAATTAATCCAGAGTCTTGTTTTTTTTATTAATTTTTGAAGTAAAAACCTTTTTAAAAATTTGTAATTTTAATTTTATAAAAGTATTTTTAAAAGATTTTTTTGTTTGTATTAAAATATTTTTGTTTAAATTCCTCAAAAAAGAAAGCGAAATATGTACATATATTTGTTGTAAAAATATTTTTACCAAAAACAGAAGGGAAAATAATTCAAAAAAAAGTTTTTTTTGTCTAATCCATTTAGGATTAATCTAAAAACAAATAAAAAAAATATTTTCTAAATAATTTTTCTAAAATTTTAAACAAAATTGAGATTTAAGAGAATTAACATAATTTTAATTAAAATAATTAATTTTCTTTCCTCCAAATAAATAAAATATATTTAGAATAAATACTTTTTTGACAATATTTCTTTAAATTTTTATTTTTTTGGATCAAAAATATAATTAAAACATTATCCACAAAGACTGGTCTAAAAAAAGAGAAAAATAAAAATAATTTTAATTTTTTAAATATCAAATAAAAATTTCGGTTATCGAGTTGATATTTTTCGAGATATTAATATGGACATCCAATCCAGTCTACAATTTAAATATTAATGTCATGAACAGATAAAGACGTCCTTCAAAGTTTTCTTGAATGATAAAAGACTTGAACTTGAAAAAAATTTTCTTTAATTTCGGCAACTTTCTCAAATAAAATTCTTGTTTTATTTTAGCCATTAAACTTAAATTTATTTTTAAATAAAAACTTTTATTTTTATTTCCCGGCCAGAAACTTTTCCTTTCTAATTTTATTTTTAAACTTCTCGTTTCTGTTGTCATTTAGATGTAAAATAAAAACGGTCAAAATATTTTGGGTTTTCCTTTCAATAAAGCACGGTGGATTGAAAAGAAAAAGAAGCAACTGTTTCTAGATTTATTTAGACAACAATGGATGGTTGAATAAAATAAAATAAATTTTTTGGCCAATTGGCGAGCTTTAAGAATGAAGAAGGAAAGGGATTGAAAGAAGAAAAAGTAATGAAGGAAGGGACAAGGAGAGGGGGTAAGGGACAGGTATATATATTTAGTTGGTTGGTTCTTTTACTAAAAGTAAATGCTTGAAAATTAAAAGAAAATAAAATTTATTATGGTCTTTTTAGAAGATAAAAAGTGCTAAAAAGTTATAAAAAATTTGGGAAAATAATGAAGAAAAAAAGGAAGGTAAAAGAGAAGTCTAGAAAAATAATGTCTCTTTTAGATATAAATAATTGGCTTATTGCCGAGATAAAAATAAATTTAAAAGAAAAGTTTTCCCATGTCTAGAAAACTTCTTTTCATTATCAGCTTTCATCAATGAATTGCCGCCCTTCCCCTACAGGCAAAGTCATAAATCGTTCATTCTCTCCCCCGGCATTGCCTCAATTTTCGCTATTTTGCTCTGTTTGCTGTCCAATATTTGCCTTAAAAACTTTTCTCGCAGCACGCCCCCTCCAAAAAAATATTTTTATCTATTCTTCTTCTTCTTCCTTTTTTCTCTTCTTCCCCCCCCCCCTTACTTTTTAACTGTCCACATTCCTTCTTCACTTCCATTTTCTATTCCCAGCCACCATCTTCTTCGCACCGCTCGCGCCATAAATCACTCGTCGTGGTGCCCAACCCGCCGGGTAAATACTTTTTAGTTGGAAGTAGTTGAGAGGAATAAATAGATTTGGAAAAATAAGAAAAGATGAAGAACACGGCGGACAAGGCGGATTTGTAACTCGATTTTCAGAAGGCTTTTTTTCCTCTTTTTTTTCTTTTCAATCCCCAAAAATTCTTTACATATATCCATCGCTAATAAAAACAATTTATAAAAAAATTATTATTTTCCGAATTTTTTTATTTTTGGCAATATTTTTTCCTTTTTAAATTTCTTTATAAGTGAATTAAATTCTTAAATTTAATGATAAAAGTACATAAGGATAAGCTATAAATATACCTTTTTCCTTTACTTTGAGGCATTCCCTTCCAGAACGAGGCCGAAGAATAAAAGGGCATTAATAAGCTACAAAAATAAGTTACAGGAGATTATCCTCCCAGGAAATTACTATCTAGTTATTTCCAAGAAAGGTCAATCCTGATATACAATGTAAACTTTGGGACAAAGTTTACATTCAGGACAAGTCTTGTAGGAAAAATTTTTAAATTAAAGGCAGTGTTGAGTCTTTTAATCAAGAACCCGGTGTCGGTTGCTCAAAATCTAGCTACCTTTCTCTGATCTCTTCTCTTCCCAATGTGTTATCCATCCTCGAGGGTAGAAGAGTCAGTTTTTTTAATTAAAAATTTTTTAAATGCGCATAATTTTAATAATAACAAAAATCGATGCTTAACTACACCAAAATATTGCTCTATTCATTTTTCGAAGGGGGGGGGTTTCACATGCAGTCGGTCTCTCCCCACTATCCCTTTCTTTTCGTTTATTTCCTTTTTTTTCGATCACCCAATTTGCTAAAGGTGTCTTCCCTCATTATCGCTATATTTATATAATATTTAGTGAAGTACAATAAAAACATGTAATAAACCCAATAATTGTTAATTTTTTGATTTTGTTGGACTATGTAAATATACATATTTTTATTTTTTAAACTATTTTTATACATACTTAGTATATCCTTTATTAAAATTTGTTTCTTTCCTATTTTTTCCTCTTTTATATTTTACTCTCCGGACCGCAATATGTCAAATACTGGTGCTAATAAGTTAGAACTAAGGTTGGCGGATCCGGATCCGAAAAAAGGCCGGATATCCGGAAATTTTCGGTTCGGATACCGGATCCGGATCCGGATATCCGAAATTTTCGGTTCGGATATCGGATCGGGATCCGGATATCCGAAATTTTCGGTTCGGATATCGGATCCGGATCCGGATATCCGAAATCTTCGGTTCGGATCCTAGAATTAGGGAAAAATGGAAGAAATCTAGTCCATTGATCTTTCAAACTTCCCAAAATTTTTGCCTGCGGCGCTGAAAATTAAAGATTTTTGTCTTAAGAGCCTCCCAAAATTTCAAAATTTTCGCCTGCGGCGCTAAAAATGGAAGAAATCTGGCTTCTTGACTTCCAAAATTCAGAAAATTTTCGCCTGCGGCGCAGAAAGGGGAAAAAATCTGGAGCCTTGGCTTATCACAATTAACAAAATTTCCGCCTGCGGCGCTAAAAGGGAAAGAGTTGTAAACATTTGTAAAAATCACATGCGGGTTTACAACTTTAATTAAAGGTTGATGTATTTGGATGTCATATAGAAGGATCAAGAATGATGGGATTAGAGCGGATATAGGAAATTAATCATAAGTGCCTCTATATCTCTCGTAATTCTTAACCCCAGCTCTTAACCTCTCTATCATCTATTGGGACTCAATTTTACAGCGCCGCAGGCGAAAATTTTGAAAATAAAAATTTCGGTTCCGGATCCGGATATCCGAAAATTTCGGTTCGGATATCGGTTCCGGATCCGGATATCCGAAATTTTCGGTTCGGATATCGGATCCGGATCCGGATATCCGAAAATTTCGGTTCGGATACCGGATCCGGATCCGGATCTCCGAAGATTTCCAACTATCCGCCAACCTTAGTTAGAACTTGATGTAAGGAAGAAAAGAGATCCGTAGGGGGTTGTTGTCAGGTGAAAGTAGCGCCCCAATAGCTCAGTCGATAGAGCACTTGTACGTGGTGAGCGAATCGCCAAGGGACACTACCAAGTTGTTTCAGGATCGATGCCTGCTCGTTGATAAAATTTTACCTCTCTTTCTTCGATATGTTTATTTACAGCAATTTGGGATTAAGTAAATGGGATAATTTAGAAATTTAAGGGAGACGTTAATTATGCATAAGTAGAATTTCTGTTTGTATGTATGTATTTTTTTGTAATTTTATTTTTTTTAATTTCTTTTTTGCTCATTAATCTTAATAGAGATGATTTTAGAAATCTCTAGGCCTAATGTACAAAAAAATATAAAATAATCTATAAATATTTTAAAATTCTGTTAGAAATACTTTAAAAAATTTTTTCTTAAATTTAGCCCCTAAATGTTAGATAAATAATGAAAAAATTACTAAATATTTTTTGTCTAAATAAAGTGAACTAAATTAACGACAAGTTTTGAATTGATAAGGTGTATTTTGACCTAGTATTATTTTTTACTACTCTTATCTTAAGAAAAACAACAGTGAATGTACATAATAAGTAATTTTTATATAATTTTTTGTCCATATAAAAATCGCAAGTTATTCTATATTTTATTCAAATATTTATTTATACATTCACATTTTTTAAATTTTTTATGGCAAGCATTGATCCGCACTTGTAGTGGTGTAAGCTTGTTTTGTAAAAGCAAATCTGTTGCGCCCAGGCAAATAAGCTCGCTTCTACAGGCGTGGGTCTTCTTAGCCAATTAATATGTAATATTCTAATATTTTTTGTTACAATTTAATCAAAAGGAACCGAAGTTTTGTTTTTATTAAAACATGGTTTTTTGAAATGATATCGACTCTTTAAATTAAAAGTAGGTTTGGTTGGAGCAAATGCCCGTTCGAAAAATAGTTGATGGAAACCTTAACAACGAGCAAATGAGTAAATTTAAAACCTAATTCGTATCAACAAGTAACTAAAAACCATTCAAAATCAATTTATGTATTTACAAACAAACAATATTTACAAACAATCACACAAGAAAATGGGGGGAAATTACAATTATGAAGGGAGAATTGTCTTTCCTATATTATCACACATCTCGACGCCATCATCTTCCATCAACCGCTTACATGTTGTACTCGATTGGAAGGTTCTTGCGGCGAACCATACCGTCACCCTGGAACCATTCGCGGCGGAATTGCTTGGCTGCTCCTTCCGGGGTGTTGGTCCATTCGACGGTGACACGGTCGTTGTTGGTCGCTTCCGCAGCCGGATCGAAGGCGTCGCAAGAGATGGCGATGTTGATGGCCTCCTTCGGGTCGAGCACACCGTTGGGCGGGTCCATGTTCAGACGGCGAGGGTTGGTCGTCTTGAAGGCGAAGCCGATACGATGCCCACCAGAGTTGATGATCTGTAAAAGTGAAATGGGAAATATTTATTAGTGGTTAGGTTAGAATAAAGGACAAAAGATTTTACCTTCATGTAGTAGGTGTGCTTGTCATCGAACGGCGCGTTGAAGATGACCTTCACAGCAGGAAGCGTTGTGATGTCGCCGGGTGGAACAGAAGCCATTGTTGAGAAAGGTTTGTTGTCGTTGTTTGTGTAGTTGAACAGAAAGCAGGTTGGGGAACTGGCGTAAAGTTAGGGTTTTTATACTTCCTTTCTAACTCAATGATCCTGTTCCGCGAGCATAAAGGTATAAAAGAGCCAATAGAACGCCAGTCGGTATCAACCAATTCTCTTCAACTTCAATTCCTGCTACAACAACAAACCGTTCTCAACAATGGCGTCTGTTCCACCCGGCGATATCACGACTCTTCCTGCCGTGAAGGTCATCTTCAACGCGCCGTTCGACGACAAGCACACCTACTACATGAAGGTAAAATCTTTTGTCCTTTATTCTAATCTAATCATCTAATAATTTTTCTTCACTTTTACAGATCATCAACTCTGGTGGGCATCGTATCGGCTTCGCCTTCAAGACGACCAACCCTCGCCGTCTGAACATGGACCCGCCCAACGGTGTGCTCGACCCGAAGGAGGCCATCAACATCGCCATTTCTTGCGACGCCTTCGATCCGGCTGCGGAAGCGACCAACAACGACCGTGTCACCGTCGAATGGACCAACACCCCGGAAGGAGCAGCCAAGCAATTCCGCCGCGAATGGTTCCAGGGTGACGGTATGGTGCGCCGCAAGAACCTTCCAATCGAGTACAACATGTAAGCGGTTGATGGAAGATGATGTGACGTCGAGATGTGTGATAATATAGGAAAAACAATTCTCCCTTCATAATTGTAATTTCCCCCTGTTTTCTTGTGTGATTCTTATTGTCCTTATTTTCTAGTGTGATTGTTGTAAATATTGTTTGTTGTAAATAAATTGGGTTTAAATGTGTTGTTATTTTTTAAATCTAGTTTAAACTTTTCTCGTTTGCTTTATTAGGTTACTAAGTAGTCGAGTAAATGAGCCTCGTTATTTCTAAGGATCAAAATTTGAATTCCTATCTTAGACTTAAGAATTTTCAACCTAGTTTATAATCGGGCCAAATTATTCTTCCTTTTTCATCCCGAAACGGTGACTTTTCTTTTCTTGTATTTCCTTTTGGACATTATAAATTTTTTCATCCAACATATTATAATAAGCTCGTTTATTTGTTTGTTCAAACACCGGTACTGGTAATACAAAAATTAGCTATTTTGTACATTCGCTAGTACCGTGGTAGTACGGAACCATGACAAACCGAGTTTCAACAGTGAAGGTGGCAAGAACGGGGGCGTTAATGCAACTATGAGAGAACATGTTCCAAGAAGAAGTTTGTCCAGGAACATAAGATTACTTACTCCAGGAACGGGAGACCTATTTTAATAATAGATTTCATTTACACAGAACTTAAAAAAGTCAAAAAATCCACCGATATCCACTTAATCATCCAAATCCAAAGATTAGACATGTAAAAAATAAAATTTTGTGTTGATCACAATGGTGTTGTGTGCATTCAGAGTCAATAGGATTGACCCCGTTTTGACAATTGGGATATTTGTATAATAAAAATATTTAACATTCCCAACTTTTTTAATAAAATATGTGATGCTTTTTAATTTTAAAATTTTGTTCCTTACTCAAGTCGAACGCAAAATTTGGTCCGCATTTGTCAGATCCGCAACTGTCGGCTCTACAGTTTCGGTCTGCTACAGTCGCTCTGCACTTTTTATGATGTTGGACAATTCAGTCCCGCTGATTCGGTTACAGTGAAAATTTAGAATTTTATTCCCAAAACTCTACTTTGATCGAAGGAAGAAAATTTTTGCTTTTTACATTTAAAATTGATTTTTTAACTAATTTTTTACTTTTAATTTCAGAGAATCTTAAAACAACATACAAATGGACAACAATCCAAAACCGGCTTCCAAACCTTGCTGTGATGCAATTGAACCGTTATATGAGGTAAACAATAAAATTTAAAATAAATTTCACTTTTCAAATCTTAGATGTTAGTTGATATATTCCACGATCCGGACTTTTTCAACAAATGTTTAAAAGAAGATCCTGACTTAAAAGAACGAATTTTTGAAATTCTTGGGCCTAACAAATGAATGAATTAAGAAAGAATAAAAATTCAAAAAGAGAAAATCAACTGCATATTTAAATGCCCTGTTAAATTTTTATTCTCAATTGTTTCTTTTTGATTTTATGAATAAAAAATGTTGGGGGTTAAACAAGGCAAATATTCTACGGGGATTTTATGATTATTATTATATTATCCAAATGTTATCTCTCATCCTTCCTCATCGTTTAAAGAAATTAATTGTCCATTCATTTAGCAGCAATCCGGCGGGAAGGCTGAAATATTTTTAAAATTTGAAAATTTTTAGTGTCAAAAACCCTTAATAACGAATAAAGACGCCTATTTTAATTGTTGGGGTTTTAAAAGTTTTTGACAGACAGAGTTAATCATTCTACTAAAAATCTTTTACCTTTGCGGGAGGTTCAGGAGCAGCTTCAACGGGTGCTTCATTTGCATTAATAAACGCCTCAGCAGGAACTTGTAAAGGAATAACAGGCACAGGTGGACGTGCAGCATCCCCCTCAGCTTTAACTTGCTCCACATATTTTGGAGGTTCTAAATTCTTTCGGATTTGTTCCAATTCTTCGAATTCTTTTCGTCCCCATTCTGACGGGGGACGTCCACTTCCGTGGGCAATTGTTGGAATTAATTCTGGTGGTGGTTTCTCGAATAAGTCACGGCGTTCAACATAATCCCGGCGATCAGTTTGTCGGTCGAATTTGGAAGCTACTCGGATTTTTGGCTTAAAATAATGAAAGGGAGTTATTCAAAAACTTTCTTTTAATTCTTACAGGGAAGTTTGTGTTTTCTACTTCTGTCGGGTCAACACCAGTATTCAAAGCTTTTTGACGTGCTGCTTGTTTTTGACGTTCACTAAGCTCCTTCAAATCATATTCTTGACGTCCTTTGCGTTTCTCCAAGTCATACTTTTCTCCTTCCAATTTCACAATACGTGAATATAATTGCTTAATTTTAGCCTTAATATCGTTTGGCAACATATTGGAGACATCAACTGGACGGTTAACAATAGCCATATAATTACGCTTAAAAATAAAGAATAATTTTTTGTGTAAGTAAAGGTTTTCTCCCCAGATTTTGTCTATTCGATGCACGCTCGCAAGTTACTTATCCTTCTCCTTAGCAAAGTTATAGCAAACGTATTTATTTAATGATCCGATTCTCCGGATTTTGATTAGACAGAGCGTCTATTACATAAGAGAGACAAATTCTTTAGCAGACAAATTCCAAAGCTTTACCCATCTACTCTATTTATTTACCTTAGCTTCTTCCTGTTGTTCTTTTGATAGTCCCCGTGGTTTGCTCGCCTGTCCAGGCAATCCAGGTGCTTGACCACCACCAGCACCCTTTTCAGGAATAACAAAATTCTTTCCTCCTTCTCCCTCAGCTTGAACAACACCTCCAAAAGAGCCAGCCATCATTAATTGTCTCTTCCTTTTTTCTTCTTCTCTTCGTGCTTTTTCAGCTTCAATTCTTGCTTTACGCTCCTCTTCTGCTTGACGACGGCGTTCCTCATCTTGACGTCTACGTTCAGCTAATTCACGTTCTTCTTGTTCTCGTTCAGCTTTTCGTTGTATTTGACGTTCTTTTAATTCTTGCAATTCTTGTTCAACAGCAACCATTTCTTGACGACGACGCTCGTCATTGTCTCGCATCTTAGCCTCTTCTTCCTCTTCGTGGCGTTTTTTAGCTGCTAACATTGCAGCTTCGGCCTCAGTCATTTCTTTCTCTTCTGGCTCTTTCTGTTTGATTTCTGTCTTGCGAAGTCTAAAAAATATTAAATTATACATTATTTTTAGTTTATTTGTTTTTTAACTTGTAATTAAATAACTTACTGGGCTTGTGGTCCAGTTACATCAGTGCTCACACTGGAACGACGTACTTCCCTATAAAATTAAAATAATTGGGAATTAAGACAAAATTTTCGTTGTCTCCACTAAATATCCACCTTCTCACCTAATTTTTACATAAATTCCTTACTTAGAAGGAGAGAGAGGTGGTTCATCTTCCCCGCCTTCCTCAAATTCTTGTTGTGCAGCCTGTTCCAATTCTGGTTTTTCACTCTTTGGACTTTTCAAAGGAGACGCTGGGGGACTTTTCAAAGGAGACGCTGGGGGACTTTTCAGAGGAGATTTAGGTGTCGGTGGTGCCTCTTCTTGTTTAGACACTTCTTGAGCAGCAACACTAACTTCGTCTTGTGCTTCTTCGACTTCTTCGTCAACCTCTTCCTCGCTGCTAAAAATTGGAGAGTTATTTATATTTATGAACTAAATATCTGAAAAAATTGAGATGAAAAGAATATTTGTGAGAATACATATGAGAGAAAGATACATATGTATGTTTAAGAAATTTTTAAATTAAATAGATTGTTGTTAGGTACAAGTTGAGACCTGAAAGGACTAAAAAATTAAAGTAGATTTAATTTATACCAATTTTTCTCCTTCCTTTTAGGTGTTTGTTCTCTTTTCCTCCAACTCGGTACCCATCCATTAGTTCTTTTAATACTTCTTTTAGGTCGATTTTTAGATTTTGAACTAGCCCTAACAATATGATGTAATCCATGTCTATGCCGAATTAATAAAGGGCAAAAACAATGAGAAAGTTTTGTCGGGGGTTTTGTCCATTTTAAATCTCTTTCATTCTCTTCCCCTTCAATTTCAACTAATCTTCTTCCTCTTCCTCTATTTACTTCTTCCTCTTCTTCACCAGATGTTAAAGAAGACATTTGCCTTAACAACAATCTCTTTGCTCTCAACAATTCCTGCATATCCCCCATACATTCAACTCCATGTCTCCAACTTGTTTTCCCTCTCTCTTTTGGTGTTAAAAGTTCCAAAAATAAAGGCCAGGATTTGCCTGTTTTTGGCATTAAACGATGAATACAACGACAGCATTTTGTGCAGTAAACTGGTCTAAAAAGCCAATCAGGCACTGGAGGGCGACGACTTCCAAAGAAATAATCAACTAATCGATTGTCTAAATCCTCTTTTTGTTCTTCGTTTAAATGCGAAGTAAATTTAGACCAAATAGCTTCAAAATTGGAGGAATTAGTGGATGAATTTCGACGAGTGGATATTTGAGGGTTTTGAGGGGGGTTTGAGGAAGTACTTTGTTCATTTTGATCTTCCATTTCTTCCAAACTGCTCTTTTTCCTCTTCCTTTCCTTCTCCTCATTTTCATTTTCTTCCTCTCCCTTTTCTCTCCTATCTTTCTTTTGTTCTTTTTTCTTCACTTCTTCATCATTCCTTTCATTCTCACTTTCTTCCTTTCCTTCTTCTCCTCTTCCTTTCTTCTTCGCGAGCAATTTTAACCTTTCCAGTAATTCTTCAGCCCTCAAAATATTTGGCAATTCAGCCTCTACTCTACGCGGTCTTCTTCCCTTTCCACTACTTCTTGAACTACCATTCCCTTCATTTTTCTTTTTTATTGAAGAAGGACGACGTTTAGGTGATTTTTTCCCTTTCTCATTTTCTTTAAGTAAAATTTTTGTATTTTTATTTATTTCATCTTTATTTGACATTCTTCTTAAATTATAACGTGCCGATTGTAACATTTCTCTAGCTTCTCTTTTACTTAAAGATTGAAATAATTGTTGGGAAATTAAAGAATTTTGTCTTGTATTATTTACAGAATTAATTTTTGAGGTATTTTTTCTTTGTACAGGAGGGTCTTTTACTTGTTCAACATCCTCTTCTATATTTACATCTTCTTCTTCTACCAGTGGCGCAACTGGTGATAAACTTCTTACTTCCCATTCTTCTCTTTCCTCTAAATCTTCGTCCTTTTTATAATTTTCATCTTCCTTCTTCCCTCCTTTACTTTTCCTTTCCTCCTGTTCATTCCCTTTTCCTCTTTCATCATCTGTTTCTTCCTCTCCTTCTTCATTTACCTCTCTTCCTTCTTCCTCCTCCCTGTCATCTTCATACTCATCCTCTCCTTCCTCCTCTTTTTCATTTCCTCCTTCCTCTTCTTCTTCTTGCACCTCCTCCATTTCCTCCTCCATTTCATTATTCTCAGGTCTTTTGTCCCTTTCAGAATAATCTTCAGATAATCCCGAATCTGAGGAATCGAAAGACTCATTTCTTTGCCTGTCCTTTTTCTCCTTTCCTTCCTTTTCAACATCTGCTAACAATTTTTCATATTGTCTCAACAACAATTCCCTTTCCTTTTGGAAATCATTACGAGATTGAAGTCCTCTTCTTTGAAGAAGTTCATCAACAGTTTTGTGAGCTGTTAGAAGTCTCTAAAAAGAATTTATTTTTTTGTTATTTTGTTATTTCCTCAATAATCTTTCGAACAGAGCTTGGGCACAGTTTCGGCCCAGCTCTGTTCATTTGTGTCCAGCCTATTTAATTAATTAAATTAGAGGTGATAGTCTTTTAGGATACGATTTCACTCTATTGGGGGGGGGGGGGCTTATCTAATATTTTCAAATGATTCCTACACAAATACATATTTTGTTTTATTCTCACCTTTTTGAACGTGTCGTCATTTATATCATTTTCTCCCTTCCTTTTCTCTTTTTCATCAACCTTTTCTTTGTTTTCATTAACGTCTTTTTGATTAATTGATGAAGCAGATGCTTCATTCTCTTGTTCTTTTATTAATTGTTTCCGTTCACGCAAATATTTACTTGCCCAAGATTTATCAGAAACTTCATTTTCCTGTCTTTTTAAAAGAAAAGGTGAAATATAAAGTTGTTGATTCGTATTTTCTGTTGTTTTTTCTTTTGACAATAAATAATTTGAGGGAGAGGGCCTTCTTCTTGGAGAATAACTTGATGGACGTATAGAAGAAAGAGAAAGTCTTGAATGACTGTTTTTTGTTGAAAATGCTGATGCTGTTGAAACTGTTGGGCCGATAACAGAAGAAATTGATTTTGATGAATATGAGGAGGATGAGGGGAAATGGATAGAAGAAGATTTGGACTTTTGAGAACGATTTTTTGAAAACATTTTTTAAATTATATTTTTTGAAATTGCTGTAGAAAATAGTTAAAGAAATAAATAAAATATTTAAATGAAAGAAAAATAAATGAAGATGAATGGAAAATAAATAAGGAAAAAAAGGCTTAATTATTTACTCACTATTCTTCTTGATCAGACATTGTTTAAATTCTTTTTGCGCGGTTTTGGACGTTCAAAAAAGGATGAGAATTTTCGCTAAATTATAGGAATTCATAAAAATTTTTGGAAAAAATTTTATTTTTAAAAGAGAATTTTGCAATAATTTTCCCAACAAATTTTTGAAATTTTAATAATTTTGTTTAGTGTTTCGCGAGCAACAAAATGATGAAAATTAAAAGATAAAATTAAAACTAAAAAATAATTTTTAGGGTCAAAGATAACTACTACCAACTCAAAAAAGAAATCCCCGCCGGGTCTTAAGGTGTTACGTATTTCGCAATTTAAATGTTTTAGTTTAAAAATTAAATGGATTACAGCAATATATTACCTATTTACTTTAAATGTTTTTAGAATTTTTTTCTTTTTAAAAATTTTCTTTTTTTACTCCTCCGCCTTTTTCTGCCAATTTTTGAACAGCTGTAGGCAGCTGTTAAATTTTTTATATTATTTTTAACAATCACAACAATCCTTTCACGTTTGCCATTTAAAAGACGTATTTAAACGTGAATGGATTGTGAAGAGTTTTTATGTTTAGATTTGGAATACAGAAAAGGGGCTATAAAAATAGATATTTAAAAGGGATAAAAGGAAAAGGGATACTTAAGAATATTCTATTTATTGAAATAGAAAATTTTTTAAAAAATTTTAAAAATAAAAAGAAGTTAATGATCAATTTTTGTGTTATATATTTTTTAGATTAAATTTAATTTTAATGATCAATCATTAAATAAAAAGCAGAACAATATACCCATTTTCTTAAGACTAAATTGGCTTTGGATTTTAAATTAGTTTTGGTTTTGGACCTGTTCCTTTTTCATTTAAATTTTTTTGTTCTGAAATTTTTAAGAATTTCTGTAAATATTTAGGCAAAGTAGACATTTTACGGCAAGACATTTTACGGATAATTTTAATTAAGCAAATACTATTTTGCTTTCCAGTTTCTACCTAATATTTCTTAGAATAATTTCTGAAATTCTAAAAAACTCTGGACTTTTTGCTTAGGGGGAATAATGTAAAATTTTTAAAATAATACAAATTTACATAACCTAAAAAGATAATAATATAATATTTGGCAATTTATTAAACTAAAAATTTGGCCATAATATTTTCAGAATTTCCCTTTTATTTAACTTTGTATTGCAAAATTCTCTTTTTTTATAAAAAAAAATTTAAAACTAATTTTCTAAACCAACCTCTACAAAAGTTGAATTAAATTAATTGTATGTAGTAGACAAGTATTACTTCTAAAAAATAAATATTTTAATTATTTTAATTATTCTCTTTTTCACTAATTTTCCCTCCCCCAAACCACTCTAAAGCCATAACTTTTTATAAGCTCGAATCTCTTCAATCTATTTGCTAATTGTGGAGGCTGGTATTGGAAAACGTTTTAAAGGGTTCATTAGACACCCCCCCCCTCCTCCCCAAGCGTAATGTTCGACAATTAAAACTATGTTTTTTTGGCATAATTGGACATCTATTGTTAACTGCTTAGGTTAATATAAAAATGTCAAGATTTGTCGTTAAAAATTATGGCTTTCGGTGTTTATTGATCTAAAAGGTAAGTTGCCGGCATACTTTTGGCCTATTTTTTAGAAATTTGTAACACACCCCTCCTTAGATTGTAGTTTAAAGGAGCAATATTAAATAGGATAAAGTAAACTAGTCTTAAAATTAGAAATTTTGTATTTTCCCTTTTAAATTATCTTTAGGCCGCAAGTGTAGCACTTTTAGGGTTTTTAGTAAAAAATATTTTTATGCAAAATTAAAAATAAGAATATGTAGATAAAAAAAATAGTTTACCTACCTATTATGTTTTTGTGCCAAACACTAAAAAATATATTTAGAAGACAAGAATTAGTAGTATGTAAGTATATTTTGTTTGTTCCCACAAATGAATGACTTTGATAGTTTTTAAGAGAAGGATAGGGAAGAGATTTAAAGGTTTTTTTAAAAACTTGTCTAAAATAAGTATTATAAAGGCGGGGATGATGTAAATGAAAAAAGAGGGAAGAAGAAGAAAGGGATGAAAGAGAGGAAGGGAAGAAAGAAGAAGAAAAATGTTTGAAAAAAAAAGTTTTTCAAAAATATTTTAACGACAGATGGCTATTCCCCCCTCTCTATACTAATTTTCCTTTTAATTTTTTTCTCTAAACTTCCCACACAATCGACTTGGGGATTTAAAGGTTT